GTATTAATTGGAGACAGTGTCCTTATCTGAGGTTAATACTGGAGTATTCTTTCCCTGTTATGACTTCTTTCCTGTTCTTGTAGGGGGCTCTTTGACCATCTTTTATGCCTTATAATCCTCAGCATTTTCACAATATACGAGAGGTTTTTCAAATGTGTCCTTTCTTTCATTTTCAGGTATGGAACTTTGTTCTACCTGGCCCCTTGGATGGTATTCCCCAGTGACCATTAATAGACCATTTGTAGTTTATATATCTGTTCTTTGGTGGTGGGAACTGTGCTTGTACCGTCAGGGGCGCCTGCTAGGTAAGAAACAGTGAGTGTAACAGCTTTAATATCCTAACCCTTTACACTTGATGCTTGCAGAGCCGTGGATCTACTTTTCAAACTGCCGTTCTGTTTCTGATACAAGCAAGCAGATCCATAATATACTGCTGATTCGTGCAATTTGGCATAACTACAGAGGATCAGAGGTAGCCTATACAAGACTGCAGAGCAATACTTAATGTGTTCCAGAGATCATGGGAGTGAAAGTCTGTGACTGGGATTTTTTCATATCACATGGTCCTCTGACACTTACCTTCTGAGATCCCCAAGCTGAAGAAATCAGTTGGCTTGAAACAATAGAAAATCCTAGTTCAAGTTTTGTTTTGTTTTGTGGTTTTGGTTGTTGGTTGTTTTTTTTCCCCTCCTGTAGATCTTTGTAACAGGCTCTGAAATGGCAGGGCGGGTGAGGCTAACCAGCACTTTCTCAAGCAAGTTGATGGAGGGTTTGTTGGTTTTGCCAAGTGAAACACTGCTTACTCCTTTCTGTTGTGGTGGTCAGCACTAGGCAAATGAAATGGCTGCTGAAGATGGAGACCAGACAGCAGGTGTAGCAAGAGCTGATAATTTAAGTATAGGAAATGTAAATTGCTAAGTCTAGTTGGAAAAGTAGAGGCTATGCTCTAGTAGATCCTGTGGAAGTCAGTCCGTACTAGGCATCTAGGCCAACCCTTGGAGCTGAAGCTTGCAAGCGGTGCAGCCAGGAGGCTACAGGAGGCTGGGTGTGCTGGCTACCTGCTGCCAGCTGGCCACCAGCCAGGCCCTGAGTGCTTTGAGGCACGGGGCTGGGGCTGTGCCAGGCCTTGTGTTCTGAGTGGAGCAAAGAATGTAGCTGCACTTCCAGTCTATGCTCAAGGGCTATTGCTTCACCAACCAGGTGCATAGCTGGAACAAGGCGTGCAGATGAACCATGGCAATGAAACATGTACCTGGCTTTAGAGTGCCCAGCACAGACTACGTGGCAGCTAGAGACTTCTAGAGTAATTAATGCCTAATAAAACTGTTCAGAGTGAACTTTTCAAAGTCTGAAACAAACATAAGGTAGCCCTTGAGCCTGCAGGCAAGAAGAGAAGGAGGACAAGTCATCTGAAAGGCAACCATCAAAGAGCTCTGTCTTAAATTAATAAAGATTGGGGAACTCTGGATGATTGAGGAGAACATTAGGGGCCAGAAACTGAGAGGCTGGTACATATGATGCCCAAACCATACAAGATGTTTCATGGGTACCATGTGACAAGGACTAAAAGGACAAAGTACTGCCAAATGGAAAGCTGGGAGGGAGAAAGGGAAAAACTATCCTGTTCTTTAAACAGAACATAGGTGGACAACATGAGCCGGAAGTACCCAGTATTGGTGTGTTTGTCTTTCAAATCTGAAGTATTTTGTTCATTTTGATGCAAGTATACTCATCAGGGTGGGGGTCAGGATAAAACAAAACAACAAGGATTTTTAGGGACTGGATATTAAAAGGAGCGGTAACAAATAGGAGAATTTTGGAAACAAAAAATTGGAGGAAATTTATTAGCTCCAGATATTCTTAAGAAGTATTTAACACAGAGGAAAACAGGGGAGACATCACAGTTTCACCTCTGTACTAAGAGGAAATGTTTTAATGTTTCTGTAACCACTGAACAGTGCATGAATCCTCATGGACATAGAGCCAAACCTCTCCTAGTGTAAGAGAGGAAGCAGTCAGATGCTGTCATTGAGCATCTGTGAAAATTGGGCTCTTTCTGGCTTTATTTCTCCACTCCTGCATCTGGATCTATTCACTCAGGTGGTTTTACACAGGACTATCAGGAAAGCCTGCTTAGTCTGTAAGGGGTGTGGAAAGGAAGATGTGCTGGTACTGGATATTCTCCTGAGGTCCCTTCCCACCTGCATTATTTTAGATCTTATTATATTGAAAAGCCCTAAGCTGTAATGCAAAGAAGGACTGGCGTTTTAGCAAGTGATCACACGTCACATCCTCAATGTGACATTTATGTTCTGATGAATGTGATGTTTAAAAGCCAAAAAATTACAGGATTATCTATCTTAATCCTTCTGGCACAGGGGTGTAGATGCTGGAGCTGATGGTTACTGGAGGGTAATGCCACATCAAAAGGGGACACATCCTGGTGCTGAGTCTACATGTCAGCACTATGTACAGCACCTGCTCTAGCATCAACAGGAGCAGAGCAGACTTCTTAGGCTCTGCTGGTAAGAGAAAATGTGTCAGTGCTGTATCCCATTTTGCAATTCAGCTAGCCCTATGGCTTCAGGGAAAACAAAGCTGTGAAGAGCAGAAGGTCACCTCCTGGACAACAGTCAGCAGCAGGCAAGGATGAGCAGGGAATAGCACAATATGAAACTAGAACTGTGTGGGAGTACAGCACGGCCTCCATAGCACAGCCAAGAAGCACTGAGCCACAGGCCATGTGTGCCCACAAAAAGTGCTGACAGCTGCTTTTCTTCACTTTGTTCTTAGAGCATCACAACTGCTACCTTATTATGCACTAATAAGTACTGTGCAAGAGTAACTTCCAGAAGCATATGATGATTTGCCCAGTTAACTCTAAGATGGCCCCAACACCCAGTCACTGTAATCTTTTACCTTCCAAAGCCACTGCAAGCCGAATGCAGGTGAGAATGTGAGATGACCACCAAGTTGCTTGCCACAGTTAACCTAACTAGAAGTGAGGGAGTTTCTAAGTTGCTCTTGGACTCTTAAATAGATCACAGATCACATTCCAACATAAGGTGCAATATATTCCATTTTTCTGCATCAAGCACATATTGAACTGCATTTTTGCTTTAAGCTGATGTCATTTCCACAACTAGAATTAATATCCCCAAAGTTACACAGCTTACATATATTTACAGCATCTTCCCAGGAACAAAAAGTAACTCTCTCGTATGCCAAGTTTTTTATTTGGAAATGGAATGCATAAAACAATGACTTATCAGGAAAGTCTCGGTCATTTTAAAGACTTAAAATGTTCTAATTTTATATTCTTTATGACTACTGTACACAATATTATGAGGTCATTGTCATCAGAAATGCAAGACAGAAGACCAATAAACTTACAGTATATAAAGATGCAAGAGTGATTTTTCAACAGCCACATACAAAACTGAGTGATGAAACATCAGAAATAACCAAATAAGGTATTCTGGACTTTCAGAAACTATTCTAGAAGAACCAATAACTCGATTGTTTTGAAATGGCACTAGAAGGGAATCTGCTATATGCATTATTTGCATCAGGAAAAATTTTCACACTTACATTTAACTATTATGAAATAGGAGTCCCAAATTAGTTTGCCTAACAGTAAAGAACTGCTTGCAAACAAATCCAAACCAGGTGCAAGATACAGCAAATGCAACCCTGGTTTTGCATAGACTTATTTATATAAGTTTAATGCTAAAATCAGCAGTCCTCTGTAGTTCCAGTTAACAGTGTAAAAAGACCTTACCAGGAATACAGGTTAAATATTCACTTTTTAGAGTCCTTTCCATTGCCAACAGCCTGCAAGGAGGACTTCAGTACAAGACTACCGATCGTGACCAAAAAAAGTTAGGCACATTTCTGTATCCTTTTGGGACCCTACTATTTGTAGGTTTAGACCTCGGCAGTAGCAGAACTGGATAAAATCCACTTAATAAAGTGGTTACAGACTACAGGAATAGATCTGTGTTCTTCAAGGTTCTTCAATTATTATTTTCAATCAATGACAAATTGAAGTTAAATAGCCTTGGACAAACAGCATGCAACTTAATAAAGAAACTTAAGAAACATTAGGGTTAATTTGTAAACTTACTGACCAAAGCAAAACTAGAATTGGAAACTAGAATTCTGCCTTTTGGATTTTAACTGTAATTGCATTTTATTTGCTGCTAAAAGGAATGCACTCTGTATTTCACTTACTAAGAAACTTTCTTTGAAAAATCTAGAACTATGGTTTCTAGATGTGGGCATAAAGTTTAAATTTTGGCATTATAATTCAGCCTGATTATTTTTATTACTTTGAAAGAAACAGTTCAAAATATCTCCTTAATGAACTGTTCCCAAGGAATATAAATTTTAAATGGTGTGAAAGGAAGATACCTGTTCTTCACTGGGCTGTTTTCTTTTTCTCTGTATCTAGGTAGTCTGTTGAACTTCTATATTTGAGCAAAATCATTCAACTCCAACAATGTGTTTTGTCTTATAAATAGAACAGGGCAGGGAGGGACAAGGAAGAGACCAAGGAATTATTCACTTTCAAGCATGAGAGAATTGGCCTAGTAGGTGACTGGGGTATCACACGATGCATTTAAGATGTGTTAAGAGACCTTCCTAGCACATAACCGTGATTTGCATTACATGAATACCTGGTATGCCAAGAAATCAGGTTTGTCAACAGTGCAGAAGGATTCATATAAACTTGGATACATACTGAAAGAAATAATCTTACAGTTTCTTTACAACTTTGCTCAGTTTAAGACAACTGAAACCCTCTGCCATGTTGTGGGCTAAGAACATGGCAGAATTTGAATTTTAACCCAACATCCACTCTCTCATCATCCATTTTCAACTTTTTTTTTTTTTAAGCTATGACCTTAAATGCCCACAACTTACAACTTCAATATTGATTTCTAGAATTTCCATCATCTCCATTATAAAACATGAATTATTTGTAAGTAGCATATAATCCAATGTTATAAATTGTATTTTTTATAGCCTCCAGTTTGGCAAGAATGCTTGATTCTGCTGTAACACACTGTTTTTTCATAGCCTAGTGGTATGGGCACCACTCTTCCAGTTAGTGACTTGTCTTTAAAACATACATTTGGATATTAATTATGATAGTTGGGATACTCAGGTTTTCACCGAAGATAAGTTTAAATGCAGGTAGTTTATTTAATGACATCTGACAGACTGTGGACCTTGTGAGGACAAAAGAGGATCTTGAAACAGGAGGATATCAAAACTAGATTTTGGCAATATAGAAGATGTATTGTCCATGTAGTTCTGTCATATGCTTTAAAAATACTCTTATTAAATAAGTTTTTCTTTCCTTAAGACCAAATAATACACGAAGCCAGTAGCAGTCCAGGGGTCAGAATATTCTGCAATTCCTGGTTATTCTCTGTGAGCTTTTTTTTTTTGCTTTTCTTCATAGGATTCTCCATACTCATTCACTCTGCTCTTATCCACAGGATAAAGCCTGGCAGAAAAAGACCAAATTATTAGTTACAGCATTGTCTGCTACATGGAGGAATTAAGCAGTTCTGTGCTACTTAATATTAAAAGTGAATTTCTTTCTCATAATATTGTGTATTCCTAATTGTAGCAAAACCACAACAGTTTTAAAGATGAGCTACGGATCCATCAGTTGCTTCACATTTAGACTTAATTGTTTCATAACAGGGCCTCTTAAGAGATGCATTTAGCTTCCCTAAAGCATGGCTGGAGTATCTCTAAAGCAATGCAGGATACCTCTCAAACCTGAAACTAGTGTTCAGCCCCTATCAGAAGTTGCTGAGCTCTTAACTTCTAGAATAATACCTTGGAAAGGGATATATTTTACTACATCTGTGTGTGATTATATAAACCTAAACCTGAAGTTTGCCTCTGGCATTAATGATTAGATACACACATCCATATATTCTGCTGTAATGTGAGCGAGGCTAAAAAGTCTTGTTTGTTCCATAGATAAATATTCTTGGGAACAAGACCACACTTTCTGTATCTTCATTTGCAAGCAGTATCTCAATGATTACTGCATGTATCCTTCTTCCTCATCTCATTTTAGTTACTTAAATAATCTCAAACTTGCCAGATGCTCAACTTACATGAGAACCAGATAACCTATGTTTGGAAACCAGATGAAAGGGAGAGCAGAGCAGGGCAATCCCTCATCAGAAAACATGCCACGCTAGTGCCTTGCAGAGTAACTTGGAAGACACACCTCAGATACTGAGCATATGCAGGCATGCAGGCACGCAGCCCCTCAGCAAAGGTTAGAAGTCCAGAACTCCTAAGTGGGTTTGTGAATACAGGCCTAAGAAATGCTCTCTCCTTCACCTTACTTCATGTATTCATGTTTCAGGTTAATTTATTTTGTAACTTGCAAGTGTGAAACTACCTGCAAAAAAGGACAACTGCAGTTTTGGGGAAGGACAAGGGATAAATGAAAACATTCTGCGAGTGCTGTGAGAAGAGGCATTTCCTTACCATGCTCTCTTAGCATGCTAAAAAGGGTCCAGGAATACTGTCAGTTATGGGAAAGTGCTTTTGCTCCTCTGATTTGTATAGAGTTCTCCTTTTCAGGGTCCCCTGCTCATTTCCTTCACTCAGCATATACACAACTACCATCATCCAGACCATATTATATATTACGATGGTATAAATTTTCTGCTTGAAGTCTATCCCAAACTATTTTGTAGATCTTTATAGCAGTAAGAATGCAACCATCTATAGGGCTGTTAAAACTCCTGTGAATATTAAAGAAAAGCATACCATCTTTGGTAAAGATAGACCAGGAACACAACATCATCTCTAAAGCACGCCAGCCTATGGGATGTTGGCATAGTGATGATAAAAGCAAAGATATCATCAATAAAGGTGTTGAATGCCTGCAAATAAAAGAAAAGTATACTTCAGTTGGTTGTGAAGGAAGGAAGTCATCTGTCACACAAAGGTACAGGAAACAGGCTTTCTAGAACTACATTTTTCAGTAGGAACACAGACTACTTTTGTTTTTATAACAAGACTTTGGTTATGCTGAAAACTAATCAAAGCAAGCTTTAAAGTGCTTTCTTTTAATGAAGGCCATGCTGTCTACTCTACACCACACAATGACAATTACAAGTAAAAAGGACGTAGGACTACTTCAGTTGAGAATATTGTCATGTGAGGGGAAAAACATGGATTCAATTTCAGTGATATCTTCAACAGAAACTGGAAAAAACCTTTTTATTAATTCCTTATGTAAAGGATTTAAGACTTTCAAATTGTCAGTTCGCTTTTATTTTCTGTGGGAATTTGAAATTCATGTAAAAACTAGTGAATTTATGGCTCTTAAGAACATTAACTTGACAGCCTTGAAGAGATTTTAAAATATTTTCAGTGCTCTCCTGGAAGGAATCATCCATCCCCTATTCAAGGCACAATTTTCTATACCATTTCCACTCATCTAGGGAAACTATAGATGCTGGTTTTGAAGCAATAAATATTTTCTCACTACTTTTCCCTGAGTGAGAAAGTTCAAATTCCCAGACAACTGATGGGAAAACAACACAAACAGGCTCCAAGCATGCAAAGGCAACAGTATTTTGTCAGAGAAGGTAAAGAACGTAAACAGAACAGCAGCTCCTCTGGATCTGGCTCTATCCTACAGGGAGGACTGCTTCAGTCTTCACTGCAAAAGCTAGCCCTCATAAATCCCAGAGACAAAAGAGAAGGTCTGGAGAAAGGAAGAGTTTCCCTTGGTAGAGGAGGACCAGGTTAGAGGCCACTTAGCCAAACTGGACATCCATGAATCCATGGGGCCTGATGGAATGCATCCACAAGTTCTGAGAGAGCTGGCAGATGTTATTGCTGGGCCACTCTCCATCATCTTTGAGGTCACAGAGAACAGGAGATGTGACTGAGGAGTGGAGGAGGGCTAATGGCACTCCAGTCTTCAAGAAGTGCAAAAAGGAGGACCCAGAGAACTACAAGCTGGTTAGTCTCACCTCTGTCCTGGGATGGTGTTAGAAAAAATAATTCTGGGTGTCACCACAAAACACATGAAAGCAAAGAATGTCATTGGGAGAAGTCAGTATGGATTCACATCATCAATCATGCTTGACCAAACTGATTGCCTTCCATGATGTCATTACTGGTTCGCTAGATGAGGGGAGAACAGTGGATGTTATCTACCTTGACTTCAGCAAGGCTTTTGATACTGTCTCCCCTAACATCCTCACTAGAAAACTCAGGAAGAGTGGGCCAGATGAGTGGACAGTGAAGTGGATTGAGAGCTGGCTGTGTGACAGATCTCAAGAGGGTGGTGATCCACAGAACAGGGTCAACTTGGAGGCCAGTAACCAGTGGTGTCCCCCAGGGATGAATACATAGTCCGGTCTTATTCAACATATTCATCAATGATTTGGATGAGGGGACAGAGTGTACCCTCAGCAAACTTGCTGATGACACAAAACTGGGAGGGGTGGCTGACACTCCAGAGGCCTGTGCTGCCATTCAGAGTGACTCAGACAGGCTGGAGAGCTGGGCAGAAAAGAACCTCATGAGGTTCAGTAAGAGCAAGTGTAGGGTCCTACACCTGGGAAGAAAGAACCTCAAGCACCGATATAGGTTAGGGGTGGATCTACTGGAAAGCAGTTCTGAGGAGAAGGATCTTGGAGTCCTGACAAACAGTAAATTATCCATGAGCCAGCAGTGTCCTTGCTGCCAGGAAGGCCAATGGAATCCTGGGTTGCATAAAGAAGAGTGTGGCCAGTAGGTTGAGAGAGGTCATTCACCCCTCTACTCTGGCCTGGTGAGGACACAGCTAGAATACTGCATCCAGTTCTGGGCTCCACAGTTCAAGAGAGACAGGGAGCTACTGGAGAGAGTCCAGAGGAGGGTGCCAAAGATGACAGGGGGATTGGAGCATCTCTCTAATGAGGAAAGGCTGAGAGAGCTGGGACTCTTTAGCCTGGAGATTAGAAGGCTGAGGGGAGACCTTATCAATGTATACAAGTATCTAAAGGGTGAGTGCAAGGAAGATGGAGACAGGCTCTTCTCAGTAGCTCCCAGTGTCAGAGCAAAGCACAACAGGTACAAGTTGGAACATAAGACGTTCCATTTAAATATGAAGAAAAACTTTACAGTGAAGGTGACAGAGCACTGGAACAGGCTGCCCGGGGAGGCTGTGGAGTCTCCATCTCTGGGGATATTCAAAACATGATTGGATACCATCCTGTGTAAAGTGCTCTAGGTTATCCTACTTCAATGGAAGAATTGGACTAGATGATCTTTAGAGGTCCCTTCCAGCTCTAGCAATTCTGATTCTGTGACTAGAAACCAACTCTTCATCATATGGTGCAATGAACTGTTTCAACTCACTAAAAACAGCAGGAAACAAATCCAGCAAAGAATATTCACTGTTGGATTAACAAACTGAGTCAGTGACACGGCTTCTCCTTTCAATACTAGCAGGCTGTATACCATGCGATAAGAAGGAAAGAACTGATATATTCTCGAAGCACAGAAAGAGTCAGTCTTCAAAACAAACCAATGTTTATATGATGAAACAAAGCAACAGCAGAAGAGGAAGGTGTTTGACAGGAGAGAGTTCTGATTAGTTACAACAGAAAACCTCTTTCTCGCAAGTCAAAACAAATCCATCAATCTGAAGCATGGCAAGAATATGGATGGTATGTCTCCAGCCTGTGCAATGTTTGCAATGGAACAAAAAATACTTGGCAAGGTGGAAAAGTGTCCTTTCCAAGTCAACACCCAGGTGAGTGATCCTACAGCAATGAAAGGAAGAAAAAGCTACTTGTTCCATCCTTCAGGCACTTGTGCAGTCCTCATAAGCCACTGAAATAGAATGCATCAAGGCAGCCCATCTAACAGTATTTAGTGAAGCTAGCTTTCTTTTGAGACTACCTCACTTGAAGGTACTCCCCATAAAACCATAAAGAGCATAAACATAGACTACAGAACCTGAATAGTCAGACTGATCTTCATTTTTGCTGAGCTATTCCAAAACAGTAAAGAAGACAAATTAAGGAAAAACCGAAGCTCTCTAAAACAACAGTCACAGATGAGACCTCCGACTATTCTTTCTACTCTTTGAAGTGTGTAAGAGAGCAAGCAAGCTTAAATATGCACTAGGAGGAAGTAAATTACCCTCTCCAAATCCCAGTAAGTTAAACAGAATTGAAAATATCATATCCTTCTTTCTACAAGCACACAAGCCTTTGCTGTGGGTAGCCTCTGGCATCTTAACAGGAACCATAAAATGCTCTGCAACAAAAGGCTACTCAGCAAGAGAATTCTACTGCTCTAAAGGTTACTTGCTTGGACAATCTCCTTGTCTGTTTAACTGATGTCTCTGCTCAGTTATTATATTTTGTTTACAGAGTAAAATTACTTTACTAATACACCTTTTATTCCCCTCTATTAAGAAACATGCTGATTTCCCTGACAATAGATGTCTGAAACACTAAATGTTTCTATCAAATTCTTTTCAGTTGCTATTCTGCTATCAGCTATATTTCATTCTGTTTTCCTAGATGCCTCCTGATTCCTTAAAAATATTAAGGCAGCAGAAAGCTGGGCTACTGCTGTAGGCTTACAGAAAGTTATAAAAGGCACTTCAAATTTTAAGATTTTAGTTTGTCCCAGATAATCTGTTTGGAATTGGAGACCATGTCTTGAACAGTTTTTAACACTATTTCTTTGAAAGCACCGATGTTCTGGAAAACTGTAATACATTAGTACAAAGGAAGAATAAATTAAAACATTCAGGAGTGGAAGAAGAAGAAAAAAGGGCACATGTGGATGGCATCAACGTCTTGCTGATCCCAGCACATCCACCTACAGTTTCTAGGACACAATGATGAGGAAACCAACAGTACAAAAATACTAAAGACTCACAGAAGTGCAAAAAGATGGAGTCAAAACCCAAGAACAAAACTAGCATGTAGTCACTGACTAAGTAAGATCACAAGAGATACAGGAACTCAACAGTGGGTGTCCCTTGTCCCCCGTATCAGTGCAAGGAAACCTGAGAGGGATACTTGGGTACACTCATCTTGGTGCTTGAATACTAGAGAAACCACTTGGGCATACTGGGTGCTTGTGGATATGCAGGTATCAAAGTGTTAGTTGATTTTGTTTGAAAATAAACTCACATTCTCCTCCTCCAAGGTCTGGTGTTAACCTTTTGCTACAGCATCAATTACTTCCTACAAGGGCAGTGGGGACACCATGTGCAGCCTTTCTTCCCTTCAGCCCATGTAACAACCCACCACACATCTGTCACTACACTGCCCAGAAGCTCAGAATTATCACCCCAGCACAGAACATTGCATACATTACTTCAGTCTCTGGTAGCTCCCAGAACCTGCCAAAGTAAGGTCTTTTAGTGGTCCGATCTGTTTCTTGAGAACTATCCTTATTAATATAATTTCTCTCTTCCTAAAATAATGCATTAAATCAAGACTGATTAATTTATGCGCAGGACCAACATTTGCACCCACGCAAGACAGATAACAGTACAAAAAGCAGTATTACCATCAAAACTGGGAGGCAAGTATTCTCAGTATAAGGATCCTTAGGAAAAATGGAAACAAATGGTGGGTTTTTTTTGGACAGTGGGTGTCCCTTGTCCCCCGTATCAGTGCAAGGAAACCTGAGAGGGATACTTGGGTACACTCATCTTGGTGCTTGAATACTAGAGAAACCACTTGGGCATACTGGGTGCTTGTGGATATGCAGGTATCAAAGTGTTAGTTGATTTTGTTTGAAAATAAACTCACATTCTCCTCCTCCAAGGTCTGGTGTTAACCTTTTGCTACAGCATCAATTACTTCCTACAAGGGCAGTGGGGACACCATGTGCAGCCTTTCTTCCCTTCAGCCCATGTAACAACCCACCACACATCTGTCACTACACTGCCCAGAAGCTCAGAATTATCACCCCAGCACAGAACATTGCATACATTACTTCAGTCTCTGGTAGCTCCCAGAACCTGCCAAAGTAAGGTCTTTTAGTGGTCCGATCTGTTTCTTGAGAACTATCCTTATTAATATAATTTCTCTCTTCCTAAAATAATGCATTAAATCAAGACTGATTAATTTATGCGCAGGACCAACATTTGCACCCACGCAAGACAGATAACAGTACAAAAAGCAGTATTACCATCAAAACTGGGAGGCAAGTATTCTCAGTATAAGGATCCTTAGGAAAAATGGAAACAAATGGTGGGTTTTTTTTGGGTTTTTTTTTTTAAGGACAGTTGCAAGCAAGTTTAGTTCCTTAACAAAAAAAGCCCTGCCAGCCTTAAGCTAATGTTACTAAGCTGCTTCTTACATAAAATTACTTCCAAAATGACTGCACCAATCTTTAAATTAGAGCTTTACTTACTTTGTATGTGAAAGCCTTCCATGGTAAGTGTGCAACAGATTTCATCTAGAAAGAAAAACACCAATTTGTAATAAAGTGTGGAAGAAGAGACTAGAAGAGTGGCCTTTTATCACTTTTCAATCTTACCTTGTAGTTTACAAATAGCTGGGGCAGCATAAACAGGAAACCAAAAGCATACACTCCTGAAGACAAAAGATGGAAAACTTAGACAAATACACAATAGAGGTACATCACACAACTATGCTTTCACAGAGATTTACACTCTTTTCCTCAACAGAGAAGATGCATCTAATCCTTTTGTTTCACTTTGGGTTGATTCTTCTCCCTTTCTCAATCACTAATAATTATGGAGTCAAGTTATTGCTCTGTATTACACTGACCCAGCTGAGAGCAGTTAACTTTCTATTTTTGAGTCTTGGTCTCCATTTGAAGAAATATGAATAGAAAAAAAATTAAAATGTATTGAGGGACTCACCATTGACAAAACTGTTAATCAACCAGGAGTACCAGCTACAAATGAAGAAGACAGCCCGGTTATTTTACCACCTCAGCCAAAAACATATACCTGTAATACATCCTCTACGTGAGTATATGTTAACTACTCCAAGAAATAGTGATGTTGTCAATTACTTTACACAAGAACTAAAAATGTTGCATCTTCCTTCAATTTGAAAGGGCTCCTGAGAAGGTATTTTAACCAAAGGATGCTTATCAGTCCATAGAACAAGTTTGGAGAGCTTAATCAACTGCTTATATACTTTTTCGCTAAGACTTCTGCACCCAAGCTGACATCAGATAATACTGTGCACTGAACCCTGATTGTATTAAGGCTTGCAAAGGTAACACTGTATTCTAAATACTAAAGAGACACTTCATATGGCACTCAAAAGACTCGAACGTCAATCAGGAAATACCATTCAATGCAAACCACTATAGTAGGTACTTATAAAAAAAGTAAATACAAGGAAGCTACATTTTTCCCTCCTTACATCTAACAATCCTTCACAGATGTCCAATGGACCCCAATGTTAGCAAAGTAACAGTCCTGCTACAGATAGCGGTTAACTTCCATACTTCTGCTTGTAACAGTAAGAACAGTTAATATCTGTGAGGCTTGGGTACCATAATTTAAAATAAAACTTGCAATGCTCTGTTAGTGACAGGTTAATAGCAATGTTATAGCCGTAGCGGTACTTCACTAATCCACAAGCATCTAAAAAAATGCATCAGATAATGCCTACAAGATTAAAGGATAATCCACTCTTAAGACCACTTGTTCCGCAACATTTCCTTACAAACAGATTTAACAATGATGAAAACTCTATTATATGAATTGCTTTCACTTTCATAAGCTACAGGTCATAGAACACCTGGCATATAGTATTTTGCAATACTGAATGAATTCAAGAATTTGGTGAGAAAAGCAGAAGTTTTAAATGCTGCATATTTGTTAGCTCCTTATCAAGACAAGAACTTTTGGAAAAAAAATGTTTTTTCTAACAGCCCAGAAATTGCCCCAGTTTCTAGTACTAGTGCAAGTAGTTTCTTTCTGATGTTATTTTAAACTACTGCTTGCTCTCCCTCCCATCCCTTCTGGGCCTAAAGACTATAAATAAAATATGTCTACATATTTTATTTTGCATATTTTGCATTTGCAGCTTTTTTTCTACAACAGTCTACAACAGGCTGCACACCTGCGTACATCCCTCCAATACAGAATGAACTGCCTATACTATTTTGAGTGAAAGTGGTAAAAAAATTCACCTTTTCATGAAATACTGGGACTTCAGCTCTTGCTGAAGTATCAATATGTTGCAGTAAGTCCACGACTCTGAGGGAATACACAGTCCATTTTTAAAAACACTTGTGTGTGCTTGCTATCCTAGGTATCATACTTAGGAACTGAAGAACCTCTTGGTCAGAGCTAATAATTTTGGGATAGTTTTTGCTTCTCTCAGGTTCAGCCACTGATTTCCTCTCATCTGTCTTGTCACCTTATCACTTCTCTGAACATCAATGGCAGCCTTCTTCCTCCTTTTCTGATTGACAGCTTATTTGTGCATGCAAGCTACCGAAATCTACACTTCATTAATATCAGGTTATTTGAAAAATACAACAGCCTGTAAAAAGGTAGACTCTTCAGTTTTGATAGGTCAAACAAGGAAGTTTCCAAATCCTGGCTTATGAATCAAGCAAACTAAAATAACTGATTTCTATAACCCATCATCTCCAATTGATTTAGATAGAAAAAATGGGGGATGTTTCAATTCTGTATAGAAATATTTACAGATTTACAGTACCTTTTGTATTTGACATTCAGCAAGGAGTAAGCTGCACCTCCAATACACAATGGATAGAGCAAATAGGACAAGTATTTCATTGCCTAACAGACAATGAAAAGATTTTGTTAGTTCCCATTTTGTATACAGCAGACTCTTCATGGCATTAACTAGAAGACATCCACATTTGTTTTTCCTGAAAATCTTTTCTTATTCCTAAATATCTACTATTATTTCCAGTATGCTTCCAGTTTTAGAGGTGGTGGTGAAGATTCCAATGCTCAGTTCAGACCACAAAGGACCTTGAAGCAGAAGCAACAAGAGGGCAGCATGAAGATCAGAGTCTGAAAGTAGCTCTCTGCTTATCACCAACATTGCCACCTATGTTCAACTTCTTTCAGAAATCAGGAAGCACATGAATGCTCCCTCCAGTATAAAAAGTGCAAAGATCAATTTTCCAGTTTTTGAATGAAGACTCTAAGATATTTCTCTTCAGATAAGCCACTTGCAATACTGCTTCTCAGAGAAACATTTCAACCAGATGTAGCTAACAAAACAATTTTTTCACTGTTTCTTTTCATAAATTAACAGAAACAATCTTCACTATCTATTCATCCACTTGACAACTTTAAGAAAATGGAATATACACTTGTACCAATAAAAAGGATGAAACAAGTCAACCAGCAGGCTACAGACATAGACTTTATAGATCAGAAGTTATGGGATTCCCACTTACCTGGGTATCATACTCCTCAGTTTTCTTTTCAGAGTCACTGCATGTACCAAACTGCAATATATATAAAATGTATAATCAAGTCAGAACTGGGGAAAAAAGCACCTGTATCCCTAAGCAGATACTTCAGCTGCAAACTAAACTGCTTAGACATCAAGGTGGGTAACAGTTAAAAGTTCTTATAAGCTTCTATACGAGAGAGTCATATAAATGCTTTGTGCAGCCTGCTAAATATAGGGTAGGTAAAAAGTTTAAATTTTCTATTAATATTCTACACCAAATATCCAGGACTTCTTTGCTTAGGAAAATGTTGTTCAGACATTTGTTTACAAAGCAAAAGCAAAGTCAACTGACTATGAATTGGACAGATACAGGAAGTAATTATTAATAATCACAGCCATTTCATACATGAAGTGGTCACTTATGGATTACCTCCACTTCAATTCTATCCTTGCCAACAGGTTGATTAGTAGTTTCCTCAAAGGTTAATTTTATTTTTTTTACAGCAGCATTTTAATCAGAAATACACATGGTCCAACAATGCTATTTCTGAAAACACTATTCACTTGCCTTTAGTAAAGGTCCAACATTCAGCAAGTGACACTACAGCTCACAAAATGCAACTTTTATGAATATAGTGCACCTTGTAAGAAAAATACCTGATGAGTTGGATGTTCTTTCCCTGCAAGCTGTTGTCCATTGTTTTAGTATGCAGATGCTTTTAACTGTCACGACGAGTACTAACCAATTTCTGTTTCCAGACTGAAATAGGCAATTCAACCATGTTCTTGTACTCTTAAAAAAGTCAAAGTTTCTGCAATAGTTCAGAGCTAAGGACTGTGACTACTTAAACACAATTCCTTGAATACTAACAAAGGAGCAATCAGAGCTACCAGCCACTGAAGGTACACACACTTCAAGCAGCACAAAACATCAGTACTTCTTGCAAAGTAAAACCTGAAGATGAGACAACTGTTTCTCCTATCAACAAGAAAAACTTTCACTGTAGATTGTAGTATTAAAAAAACCCCTACATTAAGTTATCATGGTCCAGAATTTAATTACATTAATTACCAACAAAAATGAAAAAGACTACACTTGTAAAAAAACAAAACAAAAAGTAACTTCAACCTGCTTTAATGTGAATCCCTGCTGTAACTGCACATCCTACAAACAGTCTCAGCACTTGATTTTTTTTCTCAAAGTCTTGTCCCCAGATTATGTTACATATTCGATCAGTTTCACAGTAGAGATCTTATTCAATTTCTTACTACAAATCATTATGCACATTAAGAATGCCTTCCCAACACAGTGGTTGGAGCACAGGCCCACCCGTTAAGATTCAGCAGG